ATGTGTGGAAGAAGGTAAGCGCGGCGGAGCCGCGCACTCGACGAAGCTGTTGTATCTCAGAAGGAAGCGCGCCGGTGTCAGCCGGCGAAGCCGGCTGGTCAGGATAAAGTCTTAGCCATAGACCAACCACTTTGTGGGATGCGGCGCACAATCTACATCCACTCAGAATCGAAGCGGCTTATTGATTGTCATGTGGCTTATATGTAGTAATGACTTGCTGGGGCAATCCTTGCACAAGTCAATGCTTTTATGCTGCCAGACTAGTCCGCTGGCGATTTGCTGTACCGGCTTTACCGGTGCAATGAAGGCGTGGTATGCCTGGGTAGGGATCCACGGTTTGATTTCCGGATCGCGCTCTTCTGAGCCATTCGCCACAGCACCACCTGCGCCCTTCAACGTGGCGATATGAAAACATAATTGACTCCGTAAATTACGCATTCATACTGACACTATGCCGCCCAGATATCATTATTGCCGCATACGGCGTTCCTCATGGAGGTTGTCTGATCATGACCAGGAGTCCTTACCTCCACCCAGCTCCTTGGATTCTCAACCTTATAGCGGCTCTTTGGGATTCTCATCCTCATAGCAGCTCTTCGTTCTTTAGCATCACACCGCCTTGGGTGGAGTTCAAAGCTCAAAGGCAACATCTGCGGACAACATGTCATCTCAACAACGTATTCCTGTTGTGCGCCTCATAGTGTCCAAAAAAACTCATTTGTGAAATCATTTATCAAAATTGAAAATCACCACGAGCCACACTTTCAATTCAATTTTTAGTTTCTGAAAAACATTATGAAGTACTCAAATCTCTGTTCTGCAAAGGCCTTAAAAGGAGAGCTGACATATGTGGATATCCCTCACCTGTGCTCAACACCGTGAAACCGGCGCGATATTTCAAAGTGTTCCAACTCAAAAAAGTACACTGCACAAAAAAGGTAAACCTACCATAAAAGTTGCAGCATCCAGATGTGATGCAGCAATATAGAACAAATTATTCTGTACAATGTATACCATCGCTGGCACACATACTTTCAAGGTATCGTACGGCTGTCGCACCACCTGATCCATCAGAACTCCAAGAAACCTACAGAAATGACTGGTTCGCATTTTCCATGCATTACTTATTTATAGATTCAACATAATAAGACCACAAGATACAGGCAAAAAACCAAAGTCAGTGCCTTGATCACGACTATCACAATCATTTTTGGCGGTAGCGCCAATTTGGCGTTACCGTCTTTCTCACCAAATCGATGAAAACTCGTACAGGAGGGTTACTTCACATCCTCATCACGAATATGAAATCCTTTTTTTTAACTGACGCCACTTCATGCCAAACGGCGCGACCACCTTTCTCACCAAAACCAATGAAAATTTGCATCATAGGGCTGATAGATACCCATATCACAGAAAAGACATTCATTTTTTGACACCAGCGCGACTTAGCGCTCTGCTAAGGTTTAGGCTGGAACAATTCTTTTTGCCGGGCTCAGCTGACAAGAGTACCCTACGTTGGCGCAGCGCTTTTTGCCGGGCTCAGCAGTACCTAAGAGTACCCTACGTCAAAAATGAATATCTATTCGCGATCAGGACGTCAAATGAGCCTCCTATACAACTTTCCATGGATTTTCGTGGGAAAGATGGCGCCAAGGGCTCAGCGTCAAAAACGAGCGTAATGTTCGTGATAGGATGTCCAATAATCCCCGCTTACAAGTTTTCATCGACTCTGGCGGATAAGTGGTGGCGCCAGATTGAGTATAATATTGTCGGGGCACTAGGAAACCTCTGTGGGCAAAGTTTCCGTGAAAAAAATTGACTTCCTTGGAGTACAGTAGTGGGA